GACAATGACCTCGGCTAGGAGGGACAACACTTGACTAAGCTGTGCCACATCTTGGCCTAGATGCACCACACCTCGGCCTAGGTCATACCACTCCAGGACGAGATCACTTGGGTGCAAGATAACATCTCGGCTAAATGTGGTCAAGGCAAGGACGGAGATCAACAAGGGTTTCAAGATACTAATACTAGACTGAGGATGACTTCGGCTTGGAATAACATCGGCTAGCATAACTCAGGCAAGGCGTAACTTAGGTTTCGCATTAAGGGAGAAACAAGACAAGCACACCACACTTAGACAAATCACAAGGCTTCAAATCAAGACATGGATCGCATTAGCTCAAGCGAAACAAATCACAACACACACATGCAGGCTAAACAAGTCATTATCATACCGATGCTCATGAACATGATGAGGACATAAAGTGTGGGTTCCTACATTTTCTCCCTTCCCTACCTCTGTAACTTGCTGACCGTCATCACCACCACCCCTCCGCAATCACACCATCCCCTTCTCACTGCCCCCATCCACAACCACCAAATTATGATTCTCGAGTATTAACACAATTACATACACTCATTAATTAATCACAATTTAACATTGAACATTGAAACCCATACATCCACTAATGTAACAAACACTTGAAACCAATTTTATATTTTATTTTTTTAACATACTTCAATAAACATTTTTAAAACATCCACAATGATGCTACAAAGAGTGAATTACATACAAGAAGATACCACAAATTTTGAATACAAAAAATCCCAGACTTCACTTAGTTTTCATCATATAAAATACACTATGATTCAAAATTTTTAACACAATGAATTTAATACAAGAGAACACAAATTTTGAATATGGGAACTGGAGAATACAACTCTATTGGAGCACCCATAGACTAATTTTGATACAAATCTCACTTTTATAACTTTTTGTCGTATAACACACTTTAACACATATTTTTTAACACATACAATGTGCATGGTCTAAGAATGAATTAGATAGAAAACACAGCACAAATTTTGAATATTATCACTTAAGTGTCATAAGATACCTATAAACAAACAAATGCACACATGACTTTCAATTATAAACAAACAAATGAATACAACTGTAAATTGGAGTAGAATTGCACACCTTTCTATAAAGTACATCCAGCGATATTGCACTGGACCAGCAATCTTGGCCTCCTCTGCTAGGTGAATAGGCAAGTGCTCCATTATATCGAAAAAGGATGGAGGAAAAATTCTCTCAAGATGACAAAGTGTAAGAGCAATTTGGGATTGAAGATGATCTAACCCATCTAGCTCTAGAGTTTTGGAGCACAACTGCCTGAAGAAATTGCTTAACTCAATCAATGGTTCAACAACTTTCTTCGGTAACAAATTTCTCACTACTATTGGAAGTATTTGTTGCATCAATATATGGTTGTCATGACTTTTCAGTCCAGATATGCTATGTTGTTTGAGGTTAACACGACGAGAAATATTGGATGCATACCCATCTGGAACTTTGATGTTCTTCAAGAGTGTACAAAACAAACCTCTCTCTCTATTGTTCATAGCAAAACATGCTGGCGGCAAATAATACCTATTCCCAACCCCTTTTTTAGGATGTAATGCCTTTCGAATTTCCATATCCTGCAAGTCTCGACGAGCAATTAAATTATCCTTTCCTTTCCCATCAACATTTAATATCATCCACAATACATTATCACACACGTTTATCTCAATGTGCATTACATCAAGATTGTGGCGAATCAAATTATTGTAGTGACCCTCATCCCCGCCTTAGCCTTGTCCATGAGCATCTATATAATCTTGTTTTGCTAAGTTTGCATTAGTGAAATTTGACTTGTTTTACCTAGAGTAAGATTCTTGTCTTGGTTTGTACATATGCGAAATTGCCTGTTAATCTTGTTCCTTCCCTGGCGAGTGTAGCCGAGGTCTCCTTCAGCCTAGAACCACCTTGGAACCACTTTGGTTGACCTCTGCCTTCGTCCTAGCGTATTGGCCGAGATGTCACTATATAGGCCGAGGTTTGCACCACCGAGGCCGAGATGTGTATCATCTATGTCGAGGTGTTATCCTTGAACCCAAGTGATCCTGTTCCTAGACTGGTACGATCTAGACCGAGGTGTGGCACATCTAGGCCGAGATGTGGCACAGCTAGGCCAAGTGTTGTCCTTCCTAGTTGGGATCATTGATATCTTACCTGCCAGAGCCGATGATTTCACCCGATGTCAGCACCTTGCCAGATTGCCCATGCCGCTTTACTTGTTGAACACCCTTTCGCCATACTTTTGCCTGGTCTGTCAGCCATCTTTTTGAGGAAACCCAACCGGTTGCTGCCACGTGTCCCAGCAGAAGGTTAAGTCTAGAACCAGACGAGAACCCATCATTTGGTATCATATCTTGCCTTTTAGAGAGAGAAGCTCTAGGAGGAAGAAGAAGTTTTAGAGTGAGAGAGTAGATCTCAAGCTTGATTCCTAGAAGATCAAACCATTAGATTCGAGTTTTGAGGTTAGAATCTTAATCTACTCTTGTTGTTCGTATTAATCATCTAGTTGCATTGCATGATCGAACCTGATTTGCAAGCCATGCGTCTATGTAAAGTTGGGTTTAGAAAGAGAAAGTGGCATTCATGTGTTCTTGAAGAAAAAGCCTTGTTTGATCCGAAAGTTGCATTAAGATTCATGCTTCTGTGTTTGTTTCCATAAGACCTTCAAGTATGGGTACCCAGGTCCATGTTTTGAGTTCATAACATGGAATCTCAGATTTTTGTAATAACAAGTTAAGCTCCTTGCATTCATGTTCTTCATGATCATGTCCTTCATGTTCTTCAAAGAAAGGGAAACCCAGATTTTCCCGACTTCATTTCCTTGAATGTGGACATCGGAACCACACCTCGGCAAGGAGGTGCAGTACTTCGGCCAAGACCTGGTCGGTACCCAGCATGTTTCCCGAGAAGAGAAACAGTGTTTTGCTTTGGTTTGTCTTGCCCCTGAAAGAATGCCAAGATCATTTGCATTCATGTGAAGCTTGTTTGATAGTGCATTCAATGGGATTTGTTATGTGCTTGTAGGCCTTGGATCCTAGCCTGTAACCCCGACGTTTGCAGAACTATGTGAGTGGTATTTTTAATAAAGCTATGTTATAACGTTTTGTTAAAGCTTCTCTTTGCTTGTTTTGAAAAGTACTTGTTAAGCATGAATGGTTGTCCCTATCTTGTGTGTCAAGTATTAGCCTTGGTTTCGATTAAACCCTTGAAAGTCCGTACGTGCTAGGGGACTATAAGCATTTGTAGCACAATCTTGAAAGTCCGTACGTGCTAGGGAACTATAAGCATTTGTAGCACAATCTTAAAAAGTCCGTACGTGCTAGGGGACTATAAGCATTTGTAGCACAATCTTGAAAGTCCGTACGTGCTAGGGGACTATAAGCATTTGTAGCACAATCTTGAAAAGTCCATACGTGCTAGGGGACTATAAGCATTTGTAGCACAATCTTGGAAGTCCCACTACTAGAAAAATGACCTTTTGCTACTATACAATCTGCGACCCCCTAATTATCAATCGCGAATAATCTATTTATTCCTTATATTTATTTTTTCTTTCTTTTTTCCTCATAATTGCCCTAGCCCTATTTCACAAACATTGATATCGTTCTCCCCCCCCTCCTTTCTTTTTCTCTCTCTTTCTCTCTGTCTTAAATCAATCGTCGAAGCTCTCAGATCTCAGGTCGCCATTAACGTTTCTCTCTCCTTCGGCTGCCTCACCTTCGCCCCTGCCCTCCTCAACCTCTTCCAGGTCTCTTTCTCTCTCTTTATATACATGCATATATTTGTGTATATATCTCTGATAGCTTGTGTTCTAGATGATTCTAGATGATTCTAGAGAGAGAATTGACAAATAGCTCTAAAGATCTATGGCGGATCATTCTCTTTCTCTCTCTCTCTCTCTCTCTCTCTCTCTCTCGCACGCATTCAACAAACCTGTATGGCTCTGCTCTCTCGCTCGTCATCGTCGTCTGAAGATCTCCAGTGGTATGAATCTCTCTCTCAATCTCGCCCCCAATCCCTCTCTCTCTCTATCTATCTATCTATCTCTAGCTACACATACATATCATACAAGGAAGCTCTGGTTCGAGTAATTCGTCTCATCCTCGTACAGGTATGTACTGGTTCAACTCATCTTATTCTTGCCCTATTTTCTTGCATTTTCCATATCTATTAGTGTATATCTCTCAATTTCTTCTTCAATACATTATAGTGAGTAGTACATTATTGTTTTTAACTTGAAATCAAGATTTCATTTATTATCGGCAATTTTGAATTTGTTGAGGCAAGAACTGGTAAATTTGAATTTGGAAGATAAAAAGTCCTAGTGTTGAATTTGCTTGATTTATATGTGATATTAAATTAGTTCGTTGATCATGTTGATTGGATTTTCTAGTTGATTGATCTGTTAGCATTGACATTGACATGAATCATTATCACTCGGTACAAGTGTATTCATCATTGCTCTTGCTGTTGGAACTTTTGCTTGTTGGATGTTGTGAATGTCTTTGGTGATTTCTATAATCATATTTTTTGAATATGTTTGAAGAAAGGAGAGAGGGACATATTGAGGTTAAATTCTTGTTTTGTCTATTCTTTCAGAGGTTAAATTCTTGACTGAAGGCGAGCGCGTGTTCTATTTTCCTCAAGGACATATTGAGCAGGCTAGTTTCCAACTCTAGGCAATTCTATTCGGAGTTCTTTGTTTCTCTCAGAGGTTAAATTCATTAGGATTTCTTATAATGCTTTATAATTTTATCAGTTTTGTCTCTCTTGGTTGTGCATCTCCAAGTTATTACATTGAGAATGAAGTGCCATCACCATGAAAACTAGTGATCAGTTTCTCTTTTGCCCTGTTTGTATGGAAAGGTAAAGAGATTTGTGTATTGGCTTTGCAATATTTGCTGCAAAAAGCGGTGAAAGCTATGCCAAAATTACTATTCTCTGTAGGTTGACTCTATTTACTATGCTTTGCTTTTAATGTAGGACAATGGAAGAGGAATGCCACATGATGATATTCCCAATATGTTTGGACGAGGTTTGACACTACTTGCAAGATACCGTTTCCATTTGATACGATTTATTGTTGGCACATGGACTGGAATATTTGTTTGATCATGGACATTCAATGTGTTCATATTACATTAAGAATTGCTAGGATTAATATGTTTCAACTCTATAATGATATTATAATATTGACTTATTGTGAGAATATTTATATTTGTGTAGTTTTGTCTGGGACAAAATATGGCTTGAAGCAGACACGCGGAAAGTTTGGACTTGGTGCAAAGATGGTAATGTTTGACATCATTTAACCAATTTATGCATCTTCAGGTCTTAGTGTAAGAATATATATTTGTGCCCTTCCATTAGGCTTTATTTGTATATTTTAGTTCCTATGGTTCTTCGTTTAATAATCATGATAGAATATGAATGTGAATTTCGTCAACCATATTCTTATGCTTATAATATAATATGGTCAACAATTTGATCTCTATCCTTATATAGGCATTAATTTGGTCCAAGATGAGTACAGGGCTTCCTATTGACATTTCATCATCAATGAAGGGCCAAAATTATAGTTCATTCTGCAGGCTTGATATAGACATTCATCGGTATGATTTATATAAGGCATAACTTATAATCCTATGACTATTGTTACATTGTGAATGTGCATAGTTGTAAGTCTCCAGTTTAATTTTGTTGTATTTTTCGTTTCTTTCTTTATAGTTTATAAATGGAGCTTCTTTCAATCATTAGGAACATTCCTCACATTCACTTACATGAAAAACGGGACAATAAGGAACGATGGCATGGAGCTGAAATCCAAGTTGTTATTGAGGGAAATTGAACAACTTACCGTGTATGTAGCACTCAATTTGGCCCATGTCATGTGATTCCGTTGTACTTTTAGCTGTACACATAAATAACGAAGCAAAGCATTTATGTGATGTGTTTTGGAATCGTGTTTGATCAAATAAATTGAGCAACATATTCTTTTGCTGATGATAATCCTCTCAAATTCTATATTAGGCTTATCAATGGCATCACTGACGGAACTTTCTTTCAACTGGACTGGTTTCATTAGTGTGATGATTTCAAATATTGCATTCACTTGCAGGAGTATCTATTCAAAGAAGCAATGGTAATATCTTTCACAACATGTAATTATTCTTAGTATTCTAAATTGTGGTTTTTATTTTGATAGGATGGAAGAGTGTGGAAGAACACAATTAAGGTCCCCTGCTTGACCTTTAATAATGCTTGATTATCTCTTATGTTGCTTTCAACTTTTCTAAATGCAAGAAGTAATGGTGTTGAACACTTGACACGTGTAAGACTTCAAAGAGTACAGGATTTGTGTCCAATGTGCCTAGTTGGACATGCACCCTGTATCTCTTAATGTAATGATCATATTTTTGTAAATATTTTTTTAATCCTTCCCCTATTTAAATGGTGTACTATGACAACTTAAATTATCATTAAAATTTTGAATAATGGAGAGCAACGCTGTTACGATTATTAAAAATTGTAAATAAATGTGAGAGTGAACAATGGTCGAAATAAAAGCAAAACAAAACCAATTCAGCAGAACACACAGCCAAGTACACAAACTCCTACGCTAATAGAGGACATACAACACAAATTCACCCCTGCCAACCATCCACAAGTGAGCAAGACAGCAAAGCACAAGATAGCAAATAACACTCAGCATCAGGGTACCACTTGAACACCCTCCACCCCTGTACACCAGGTCACCACCTGGCACTAGTGTAGATATATTTGTCTTAATTTAGTCTTTTTGCTCGATATCTTAATTTAGTCTTTTTGACCTTTTCCATTTCCACTTATCATGCAAAGAGTGGATATATTTGTTATTGAGCCATTAGTTATCAAATTACAATGTGTTTTTTATTATTTTTTTATTACTTGGGATATAAATATAATATTTTGCATTTGTTTGTTTTCATTGTTGATTGCAACAGTTGACTGCTCGTAGATGCCAAGAATGTGGACAAACACTTCCTTCAACCTATCAACTCCCGGCCGACGAAGATTGGTCAATTGGAATTTTTGGGTGTACTGAAGATACTGATAGTTGTAAGTGTTCTATCTACTTCAACTTTTCAACTAGTGGCATTCAAGTTTTCACATTAAGTTGTCAAGTCGTGTACATATAGACGGGGGGAGGGGAGGGGAAGTTCACTCATTTTTCTTTAATTAAAAATCTAATTTCAGCATCCTTTGTCAAATAGAGCTCATGTCTAACTGGGATTGTGCATGTTTAGCATAATTATACAAGATAGACGCAAATAAAAATGATCTACATGGTATAATAGCAATAGTTTCACGGACTGGCATACGAAATTAACGGAACAATTTTTTCTAGAATTTGATGCTTAAAACTCAGTTAATATGAAAAATAAAATGCATTATTTATACATCTAAATTTACACAGAATAATTGCTTCTTCTTTGGATAAGGATGTCTGAATGAATTTTGTCTTTTGCATTACTGAGATCCTCATTTATTTTTGAATCATTTGTTCATCTTATAGGCTTGACTGGACTATTCTGCCCATGTGTGTTATTTGGACGTAATGTTGAAAACTTGAACGCTGATATCTCTCAAAGGGCTGCCTGTGTTGGTCATATCATATGTGTCGAAGGTGGTATGACATTTGCTGCATTGACAACAGTTCTTAATGGCATTGATCCATAGATATTATTTCTCATTTATGAGGGTCTGTTCTTTGCTTGGTGGATGTGTGGAATCTATACCAGCATGGCTCGGCCATCATTGCAAAAAAAAGTATCATCTAAAGGTGATCTGAATTGCATTATTAAAGGCTTATTACTTAATTATTTTTTTTTTAAGACTTGAATTTTTTAGTACATTGTATTTAAGGATGGATAATGGATAATGTCTATTATAAATTTAATTAATTTGTTAATTTTATTATTTTTCATTAACAAAAAATTGTTTGGTGCTTGTAATTAATTTTTTTTTTTGTTGTAGCAAACCCGTATATGATTTTGTTTTTAAGAAATAATTATTTGCGACAGTAAAACAATGGTCGCTAAAAGTGTTTTTTATTTTTTAATTTTTTTTTTTGCGACGGCAAAATAGCTGTCGCAAAAAGTAGTTTAGGTGGTCGCAAATAATTTGCGACTGTTGTTTTGCCGTCGCAAAAAGTATTTGTCACCCCCACATTTGCGTCCCCCATTTGCGGTCGCATAGGCCGTCGCAAAAAGTCTTTTGCGACTGTATTTTTATTATTTGCGACAGCTTGTAGCGGTCGCAAAAAGTATTTTTTTTAGTAGTGTCCGTACGTGCTAGGGACTATAAGCCTTGGTAGCACAATCTTTGTTAACGTCATCCCTTGAAACTTGAAAGACCCTGATTGATGAAGCTTGAAAGATTTGCTAAATGAACTTGATTCATCCCATGTGTTGTTACAAGCTTGATTATGTATTGTTTTGTTAAAGATCTCGGATATCATTCATGCAAACCCTTTATTACTTGTATCATTCACTGAGTATCCAAGCTCACCCTCTCTATATATATATGTAGGTAATGAGCAAGAAGGCGCTGAGGCCTAGATGTGTTGCTGATATGTTTTTGGATGTGTTTGCCGACGTGTCTTGGATTTCACATTTTGTTAGCATCTTGAAGATCATACTTCTTAGCTTTTATTTCATTGTGTTTTGCATATGTCGGCTTGAGAAGCCTTTTGGTCAAGATGTATTTTGTATTTCATTCTATTGTATCCTAGTTGTAAGGCTATGTTAAGATGTATGGCATTTCATTTGATTTATGCACTGCTCTTATGGACTACTTAGCTTTGAATTTATTGTTTCCGCATTTGTAAGCCCCATATGTATAATCTGTTTGTGTGTAAATTTTTCAAGTTGGCCTTCGGTAAATCCCGGATTACTGTCCATCACGGCACCATTCTTCTAGGGGCGGGATGGGGTTGTAACAGAATGGTATCAGAGCACAAGTTTCTTATAATATGTTATTCACACATTTTAAGTCCTGAAGAGCATAGGATTTCCCTTAGAATGATGTTAGGACTGCATCATAATGCTTGCTATTTGACAATGTGTGCATCATCTCGGCGTGACTATTTGTTATTTGCATGCATATTATTTGATCGTTCATTTAAAAGTTACATTTTGCATACTCTTAGCATCATGAGAAGGGGTAGACCACCAGTTGGCCGAGATCATCCCGAAGACAGATTGGATAGATTAGAGAGGTTGGTCGAAGGTTTGGTCCGTGAGATGAGACAACCTAGGCCACAGGACACTAGTACTACTTCCACCCAGGCCGAGCAGACAAATGGCCGACATGCAGTTCCACTTCCTCCAGCGCCACAAGTGCCTCCACAGCAGGCTTTATATGGGGACGGCACCATAGCCCTAATTCGAGAGTTTAAGAAAATGAAACTGCCGAGGTTCGCTGGGGGTATTGAGCCGATGAAAGCCGAAGCGTGGGTCTTAGAAATGGAGAAACTGTTTGAGATTTTTCCCAGCACCGACGCCCAGAAAGTGTCATTGGCCGCGTTCACCCTAGACGACGATGCACGAAGATGGTGGATGATGACCCGAGAAAGCAACCCAGGTCTGACTTGGGCTAGATTTTTGGAGTTGTTTTACAACAAACACTTTCCCCTTAGCGTTTGGGGCCGCAATACTACAGAGTTCCAGACTCTAACACAAGGCAGCAAGACAGTGGCAGAGTACGATCGTGCTTTTACCGAGCTGGCGAGATATGCGCCTCACATGGTTGATGATGAATATAGAAAAGCCAGGAAGTTTAAAAGTGGGCTTTCGTGGGCCGATACAAGATCGAGTTAACATGCTCAACATGCCGACCTATGTCGGAGTGTTGGACAAGGCCATCCTGGCAGAGGCCAACTTGAACCGATACCAGAACTCAGGAGAAAATCAGAGGAAGAGACAGAACCATGACAATCGCCGAGTTTCGTTTAACGTCAAGAAGAAAGCGAATGTGGGCAGCTCCAGCAACTCGAACCAGGAAGATAATGCTAAGCCGACGTGTGCGAGTTGTGGGAAACCGCATTCCAGAGTTTGTCGTTGGGCATCAAGAGCCTGTTTTGAATGTGGTGAAATGGGTCATCACGTAAAAGACTGTCCGAAGTCAAGGACTGATGACGGTAAGAAGAATGGGAGTACCTTGGGCTCTTCGCAGAGGAATAACATCGGGAGGACCCAGACGAGACAGGGTAGAGTTTTTGCATTAGTACCAGGAGACACCCAGAATGCTGAGGAAGTCGTGTCAGGTATACTCCTAATCTGCTCTCAAGATGCATACATATTGATTGATTCGGGTTCTACGCATTCATTTGTATCTGTTAAGTTTGCCGAGAAGTTAAATAGAGAACAAGAACCCCTTGATTATGTGTTATATGTGTCTACTCCATCTGGGAGAACTATGATGGTTGCATCCATTTACAGAGCATGTGTCGTTGTGATTGAGGGTGTAGAATTGTTAGTTGATTTAATGCCGTTGAGCATGACTCACTTTGATGTCATACTGGGAATGGACTAGTTAGTAACAAATCATGCATCTATTAATTGTGTTTCGAAGAAGGTCACACTGAAACCCCCGAACCAAGCTGAGGTTACCTTCCAGGGGAAAGGAGTAGTACCCCCACCTTACTTAATCTCGTCCATGAAAGCTTATAAGTTGATCCAAAAGGGGTGTTAGGGTTACCTGTGTAGTATATTAAGTAATTTGAATGGAAATGTTGAGTTAGCCGACATCCCAGTGGTTAGAGAATTCCCTAATGTCTTTCCAAACGAACTGCCTGGCCAGT